TTGGGGCAGGGAGGGGGCTGCGAGCCCGGACTCCTGGGTTCTCTCCCCGGCTCTGGGAGGGGAGTGGGGGCTGGTGGGTTAGAGCAGGGGTGGCTGGGAGCCCGGACTCCTGGGTTCTCTCCCCGGCTCTGGGAGCGGCATGGGCCGTGGTGGCTGGGGCTGGGAGCCCGGACTCCTGGGTTCTCTCCCCGGCTCTGGGAGCGGCGTGGGCCGTGGTGGCTGGAGCCCGGACGCCTGGGTCCCCCGGCTCACGGGGGGTCTCCGGCAGGGTGACGGGGGGAGAGCTGTTTGACCGGATCGTGGCGCGGGGGCACTACACGGAGCGGGACGCCAGCTGCCTCGTCCGGCAGGTGCTGGGCGCCGTGAGCTACCTGCACCAGCTGGGCGTCGTGCACCGGGACCTCAAGGTGAGGGGCGGGGCCGCGTCGAGGGGGCGTGGTCTTAGAGGGGCCTGGGGGCGGGGATTCCGAGAGACCAGGGGCGGGGCCACAGGGGGCGTGGTCTCAGTGGGGCCCTGGGAGGGGGCGGAGTCTCAGAGGGGATGGGGGGTTAGGGGCATGAGGGGGGATTGTGGGTGCAGTCTGTGGCGGGGGGCTGCAGGGAGGGGATGGGGGGGTCTCTGCCCAGTTGCCCCCCAGTGTAACCCCCCCGTGCCCCCCAGCCCGAGAACCTGCTCTACGCCAGCCCCCTCGAGGACGCCAAGATCATGATCACGGATTTCGGGCTCTCCAAGCTGGAGTCGGACGGGGTGATGGCCACGGCCTGCGGGACCCCCGGCTACGTGGGTGAGGGCCTGGGGGCAGTTTGGGGGGGCTGGGGACAGGGGGGGCAGTTTGGGGGGCCGGGGGCAGTTTGGAGGGTCTGGGGGCAGGCGGGAGCAGTTTGGGGGGCCGGGGCAGTTCGGGGGGGTCGGGCAGGTAGGGACATGGGGGGCAGTTTGGGGGGCTGGGGGCAGGCGGGGGCAGTTTGGGGGGGCTGGGGGCAGGCCGGGGCAGTTTGGGGGGGGCCGGGGCACTGACTCCCGTCTCTCGCCCGCCAGCCCCCGAGCTCCTGGAGCAGAAGCCCTACGGGAAAGCCGTGGATTCCTGGGCGCTGGGCGTCATCTCCTACATCCTGTAAGTCCCGCCCTTGCCGGGGGTGAGAGAACCCAGGCGTCCGGGGGGCACCGCTACCAGGGATCCCCACAGCACACCCGGCCCCACAGAATGGGACCCAGGCGTCTGAGGTGGCGAACAGGACCCAGGCGTCCGGGCTGGTGTCTCTGGGGAGGGGAGGAGACATGGGGCAGGGGACCCAGGTGTCCGGGAGGGCTGTGGGGGGTGCTGGCCCCGGGCAAGGGGTGTCCATGGGGGGGTCCCCCGTCTCTCACCCCCCCGTTCCCCTCCAGGCTGTGCGGTTACCCCCCCTTCTACGACGACAACGACTCCGAACTCTTCGCCCAGATCCTCAAAGGGGAGTTCGAGTTCGACTCGCCCTATTGGGATGATATCTCGGACTCAGGTGAGACCCCGCGGGGGGGCCCCGAAATCTGGGTGGGGGCCCTGGGGGGCAGGCAGGGGAACCTGAAGGGGCTCGGACAGCAGGGAGGGGGGGTCCCTACATGGGAGGGGATATGGGGGTCCCCCATATGGGAGTGGGGGGTCACTATGTGGGAGGGGGAATGGGGGGTCCCTATGTGGGAGGGGATATGGGGGTCCCCTGCTCACAGGGACCCCCCCTCTCCCCCCAGCCAAGGATTTCATCCAGCAGCTGCTGCAACGGGACCCCGAGACGCGCTACACGTGCGAACAGGCCCTGCAGCACCCGTGGTGAGCGCCCCTCCATGGGACGGGAGGGGGTGGGGGGTCCCCCTCCAGAGCCCCCTGACCTTTCACCTCTGACCCCCCCCCAGGATCTCGGGGGACACGGCGCTGGACAAAAACATTCACGGCTCCGTCAGCGAACAGATCCAGAAAAACTTCGCCAGGACTCAGTGGAAGGTGAGCCCCGGACGCCTGGGTCCCTTGTCAGAGGGTAGGTGCCCTGGGGGTCCCCCTAGGGGCTCACCGTCCCGGGCGCCTGGGTCCCGTCCCCAGAAGGTGGGTGCGCTGGGGGTCCCCCTAGGGGCTCGCCGTCCCGGACGCCTGGGTCCCGTCCCCAGAGGGTGGGTGCGCTGGGGGTCCCCCTAGGGGCTCGCCGTCCTGGACGCCTGGGTCCCATCCCCAGAGGGTGGGTGCTCTGGGGGCCCCCTAGGGGCTCGCCGTCCCGGGCGCCTGGGTCCCGTCCCCAGAAGGTGGGTGCGCTGGGGGTCCCCCTAGGGGCTCGCCGTCCCGGACGCCTGGGTCCCGTCCCCAGAGGGTGGGTGCCCTGGGGGTCCCCCTAGGGGCTCGCCGTCCCGGACGCCTGGGTCCCGTCCCCAGAGGGTGGGTGCGCTGGGGGTCCCCCTAGGGGCTCGCCGTCCCGGACGCCTGGGTCCCGTCCCGGGGGGGGCTCACGCAGTATATTCTCTGTGCCCCCCAGCGAGCTTTCAACGCCACATCCTTCCTGCGCCACATCACCAAGCTAGGGCAGGGCCCCGAGGCCGACGAGCCAGCGGAGGGGGCACCAGAGGAGCCGAGCGGGGACTGGTGACCCCAGAGGTGAGAACGCGGTGGGGGGGGGCAGGGGTGATGATTGGCTCCGCCCACTGTAGCCACGCCCATATATCCACCCAGGCCACGCCCCCAGCACACTCTTGCATCTGACCACACCCCCGTCTACTCACGCCCCCAGCGGAGCTCCACTGGCGACGCCCCACACAGAACAACCCCCACACTGGCCACGCCCCCATCTAGCCACGCCCCATCTCTCCCTGGTTTAGCTCCGCCCCCCATACAGGGGCTGGCCACCAGAGAGTTGAGAACAGGCCCCCCTCATCCCACAGGGCCCCCCCAGTGCTCACGGTCTCTCCCCCCCTTTTCTCCCTGCAGGTGCTGGCATCTGCATGAGCCGCCCAACTGCATGAAGGACCAATCCCCAGACCCAGCCGCCCCCCAGTAGCCACCTCTGGGGCTGGGTATCCTCCGACCACAGCCCCCCCCCGCCTCTCCCAACTCGTCGCTGGGCCCCCCCCACCCCACTGGCTCAGGGGGCGACCAGAGAGAGCTGAGGCATGGATGGGGAGGTGTTAAAAGGAGAAAAAGCCCCCCCCCCGGGCACCACAGACTGCAATGAGACGTGGGCTGCGGGTCGGGAGTGAGGGGCACCGGCAGCGCTGGGGGGGGCAGGGCAGGGGGGCGGGGGGGCACTTTCACATCCCATGGTCTGTCAATAATAAAACCTGTCAAACTAGCTGGGGAGTATCATGGAGTTTTGCGGCCATCGACCCTGGTATCCTGCCTGGCACCATGGGGCTGGTGGTTAAAGCAGGGGGGCTGGGAGCCAGGACTCCTGGGTTCTCTCCCCGGCTCTGGGAGGGGAGTGGGGGCTGGTGGTTAGAGCAGGGGGGGCTGGGAGCCTGGACTCCTGGGTTCTCTCCCCGGGTCTGGGAGGGGAGTGGGGTCTAGTGGTTAGAGCAGGGGGGCTGGGAGCCTGGACTCCTGGGTTCTCTCCCTGGGAGGGGGGTGGGGCAGGGGGTGCCCCCTGCCTCCATCCATGAGTGGGAGCCGGGGCCTCGTTTGCATGTTGATTGTGGGGCGGGGGTTGGAGCCATGGTGGGGGCCGCGAAGGGCAGGAAGCCGGGGGCGGGTCACTGGGGGAGGCGTCACCCCGACTGTAACCACGGGGCGGGAGGGCTGGGTGTTGGAGCCGTGCGCCCAGCGGCAGGTCGTGGGGTGGGGGGAAGCTAAGAAGGGCCGGGGCAGTGTGGGGTCCATGGGACGGGGGGGGGGGGGGGGGGGGGCTGAGGTATCTGGAGCTCTGCGGGCCGGGCTGGCCGGTCTCTGAGCTGGGCCGTGGGCCGGTGCTGGAAATCCCCCCACCTGGGTTATGGGATCACAGAGCCGGGCGAGGGCCCCACGACCCCAGACGGCAAACCCCGAGTGCTTTTCTGGCTCTTCGCCAGGATATCTGGCCGTGCCTCAGTTTCCCCATCTGCTGCATCCTTCCGCGCGGACACAGTGGGGATGGTGGGGTGTATCCCAATGTCCCACCTGCCCCCCCAGATCAGACCCAGGGGCTCCCCCTGTTTGACTGGAGGCAGGTGGCCGGGGATCCCTGTCTGGGGCGAAGGCCACGGCCCCTCATGACATTCTCCATGTCTGGCCGGGTCCCCGTCGTGCCCGGAGGAAGGGGCCGTGTCGCGCACGCGCACACACACACACCCCGCTCTCAGCTGGATGCTCGGGGTGCTGTCCTGAGACCACTAACAATGGACACGGCCAAATGGGGCCCAGTTCTGGGTTGGGGGGGTCCTGTCCCCGGCCGTCCTATAACCCCGTCCTCTCTCGCTGCAGGGGGGAAGGGGAGGGACCCAGGCGTCTGGGCAGGGGAGGAAAAGGGCAGCCTGGGTATCTGTGGGGGGGGAAGACAGGCATCCGAGTACCGGTGGGGGGAGGGGGAACAGTGAGAGGAAGAAAAAGGAACCCAGGTGTCCAGGTAGGGAGACAGGAGGAAGGAAAAGGTGCCCCTGGGGGGGAGGGACACCCAACTAATCCCCTTCCCTCCACCAGCAGTGGCCCCGGCCCACCCTCAGGAACGTCTCTAGTTCGTTTCTGAGCCCTGCTAGGCCTTCACAGCGTCCTATGGCAGGGAGTTCCCCAGGCTACTGTCGTCCTTTGGCTTGTCTCACACCTGCTGCCTGCTCAGTTCATGGGGTGACCCCTGGTTCTTGTGTGAGGAGGAGGAGTAAACGACACATCCTGCTTTACTTCCTCCGCCCCCCGCGGGACTGTTCTGGGATATTTTTGGGGTCGCACCAGGGAGTCACAGAGAGGCACTTTCTGACTCCAAGGTCTCTCTCGAGTGGCAGCAGCTAATTCAGAGCCCATCCTTGTATCTGCAGAGTTGGGATGGGGTTATTAGCGTTGAATTTCGCCTGCCAGTCCGTTGCCCCGTCACCCAGTTTCGTGAGGTCCTTTTTTGTATCGTCTGCAAATTTTGCCACCTCACCGATATGTCGACTAGGACGGGGCCCAGCACAGACCCCCTGGGAGACACCACGAGGTCCCGCGCCCCATGCTGAGAACTGACCATTTATTCATCTTCCTTTGCTCGAGGGACCGTGTCAAAGGCCTTCTGACAATCTAAGTCCACGATCTCCACTGGATCCCCTTGGCCACGTGCTGGTGGATCCCCTCAGAGAAGTCTAGTAGATTGGTGAGGTACAATTTCCCTTTACAAAATCCACGTTGCCTCTTCCCCACAAGTCGTGGTGAGCTCCGTGTCTGGCCGTTCTGTTCTCGCCGACACTTGCGAGCCGTTGGCCCGGGACTGAAGTCAGACTCACCGGCCTGTAATTGCCGGGGGCACCGCTGGAGCCCTTGATAACCATCGGCGGCACAGGAGCCGTCCTCGTCATCGGGGACAGAAGCGGATTTCAAGGAGGTTACAGCCGACAACGGCACGTCTGAGTTCCCGCCGAAGGCCCGGCTGAGCCCATCTGGGCCTGGGGACTTAGTGCTGGTTAGTTTATCAGTTTGTTCCAAACCCTCCTCTAGCGACACCTCAATCCGGGACAGTTCCTCAGATCTGTCCCCTAAACAGACGGGCTCAGGTTTGGGAATCTCCCTCCCATCCTCAGCCGTGAAGACTGAATTCGATTCATTTCTCCGCAGTGGCCTTGTCGTCCTTGAGTGGCCCTTTAGCAGCTGGGTCGCCCAGGGGCCCCACGGGTCGCGGAGCAGCTCCTGCTTCTGCTGCGACGGCCCCAGGCTCCGGCTCGCTGCTCTTCACGCTCGGTTTTGGCCCAATTCTGTATTTGCCCCTCATTTGCCAGAGTCCGGCTCCTCCCCAGGCCTTCCCGGCCTGGGTCCAAGGCCGCCCTTCGCCTCTCAGCACCTCTCCCCCTCAGCTGGCTCGTTTCTGGTTCTCACCCTGGGGTTTTTGAGGAAGGGAACTGACCTCCGCTGCTGGCGATGACCCGGGCCAAACCCAGCTGTCACATATCCCCCAGTGCTCCCGGCTCGGGGGTCTCCCCATCACGGCCTGGCCCCGGCCCCGCAGCCGCCCCGGGCGGCTGGACGGATTCTCCTGCCGGCCTGGGGAGCTGGGAACCCCCTTCGCTGACACAGGACGGGTAGACGCTCCCCCCCCCCCCGAGGAAACGCGAACCAGCGAAACGCTGCGTTCGAATCGGCCAGCGACGGGGTCGAATCACCCGCCCGCCCGTTACAAGCGAGGCCTAATTAGTGATCCAATGGTGACAATTGTCCCCCCCCCCGGCTCCCCCGCTGGGTCCTGGAACTTGGGGAGAAAAATTGGCGGGGGGGGGGGGGGGGGGGGGCCCCCTGCCCCCCCCCCTCCCCCCCCCGTCCACCACCCAGAGCGGCCCCAGCGCCCTGAATAACCCAGGTGGGGAGGTTGCCGGCAGCTGACGCCGGCGGGGGGGGGGGCGGTGTGTGTCGCAGAGCAGAACCGGGGCCCCACCCCCGCCATGCCGGACGCCAGGGGATGGAGCAGCTGCCAGCTCCCACCGCAAATCTCCCCCACAGCTTCCCACCCCCCAACCTCCCCCGGGGCGGGAGGGGAGCCCAGGGCCGGGCTAGCAGGGGCTACAGGTCGGGAGTGAGGGGCACCGGCAGGGCTGTGGGGGCAGGGCTGGGCTAGCAGGGGCTACAGGTCGGGAGTGGGGGCACCGGCAGAGCTGGGGGGGCAGGGCTGGGGGGCAGGGGCTGTGGGTCGGGAGTGAGGGGCACCGGCAGAGCTGGGGGGGCAGGGCTGGGGGGCCGGGGGGGCCGGGCTGGGGGGGGGGGGGGCGGCCCAGGGGGGGGGGGGGCGGGGCCGGGGGGGCCCCCCCCCCCCGATTGATGAGCCAGCCCCTCGCCATGCACTGGGGGCACATTTAGAAAATCAAACGTTGGCCCCTTTAATCTTTGGCAGCCGGTTTTGTCCACAGCATCGACGGGGTCACAGGAAATAAAAAATAAATTACTTTTAAAAAACCCAAATCCAGCCACGTTAGAAACCCCCCAGCCGTGAAAAAATAGACTCTAAAAATCAAACCGGGGGGAACCCAGGCGTCCGGGCCCCCCTGCAGTCAGCAACAGGGCCGATGTCCATGGAAAGGAAATGCAGGCACCAGGCAGAGCCCCCCCTCGGCTCCCTCCCCGGGGGGGTTCGCTCCGGGGTCCCCCTTGGAATGTGAAACGAACCCCCCCCCCCATGGGGTCCGAGCCCCTCACCCCGGCCTCAGGCCTCGGCGCCCCCAGTCAGTTCCGGGGGGGGGAGCTCCGGTCGCGTCGCAGAGACGGGCCCCCCCGGCTGGTTCCCGACGACTCGGCTCTGCTCCGGGGCCGGCCCCAGGGGCTCTGGCAGACGGGGGGCGGGGAGCCCCCCAGCAGGCCGTGGGGCAGGACGCGCAGCAGCAGGTGGCGCAGCGGGCGCGTGTAGCCGTTCTCGGTGCCCACGCACTGGTACCGGCCCTCGTCCGCAGGCGTCACCGGGCCCAGCAGGGCCCCCTGGGGCGTCTGCAGCAGGACCCGCTCCCGGGGCAGCTGGGGGGCAGAGAGAGACACGGGGGGGTGTGTCAGATCCTCCATGCCCCCCCCCAGGGCAATGGGGGGCTGTAGCTGGGGGGGGGGGGGCCCCCCCCGGGGCCCCGGGGGCCCCCCCCCGGCCCCGCCCCCCCCCCGCCCGCGCCGCGGGGGGGGGGGGGGGGCACACGTCAGTGGGGGCAGCAACAGGGCCACCTCCCCTCCCCGAGCCGGGAGAGAACCCAGGCGTCCGGGCTGCCCCCAGCCCCCCACTCCCCTCCCCTCCCCGAGCCGGGAGAGAACCCAGGTGTTCTGGCTCCCAGCCCCCCA